GATTTTTTTTTTGATTGAATACTACTTTTTTTGTTTGACATGATTTTTTTTTTGATTGAATAATTGTGAAACAAATCTAACTCCATAGACATGTTTATGATGTAACTAATATTTAGTTATAATATTGACTAAATTATAAGTTATAAGTTTTTTATTATAAGTTTTATTTAATCTGTGAAATGGGTTTTTTCCTATGTCTTGTTTTGCTGGTTTCCTGTCTAATATTTTGTGTAAAAGGACCTGACAATTTTATAACAAACACAATGTGTACTCCTGTGTGTGTGTGTGTGTGTGTGGGAGGGGGAATCTCCTCCTCCGACCCACCCTTCACATTCGCACTGAGCATGTAGTGAAAACCAGGCAGCGAAGCAGCGCAGCATCCCAGTCATTCAGTCGGTCTACTCGGCACCGCCACTCCTCCGCTGCTGCTTGGAATACTCAGCCTGTTCTGCTTTCTTTGGAAAAGGGTCGCTTTTACTTTCTCGGCAAGGAAAGGTGCTGTCTAACGCGCAGCCGGACTTTTTCTTCCCGATGTGGAGTTTAAAATGCTGGAGTAGAGAAAGTAGCCGCGGTGGGGACCCGCTGTTCGCTAAGTGGTCGCGCGGCTCCCAGCGGTCGCTCGCGCTCATAGCGCGGCAGCAGTGGTGATAGCTGGCGGAGAGGCTGAACAACTTGTAGGGTGTGAGGATGGTCCAGAACGTAATTCTGGTGTTCTTCCGCAGGCGACTGAGCCAGAGACCGGCTGTGGAGGAACTGGAGAGTCGGAACATTTTAAAACGTAAGTAGCCGGGACTTGGATGCAACTTTAATACCGTCACACCCATGAGTGACTTAGTTCTTACAAAGTTAAGAAACGTTTTCAAAAAGACCGCTGAAATCTTTTTATTATTATTTTTTTACTATTAGTTTAAAAGTTACTAAGCTTTATACTATGATAATGATTTTCCACTTCCTAATAGTGTGCTTTATAATTTATTTAGTGTTTTAACAATTGAGTTATTTCATTTTCCATAGACCATATAAATTGTAATAAATTAACTTGAGAACTTTTTTAATCTTGTAATTTTAAATAAATTCCAACAAATACAAACAAAGAGTATTCTATTATTTTGCCGATATATACATACCCTATCAAATATTTTCTTATGTTGTAAAACTTAGTTGCAGCCCCATTTTCTATAAACTAAACATTCAAAATACTTTCATTTGGAAGTGAAGAACAACCAAAGAGAAATAAAAATAAAACAAAGGAACGAAGCAAATATTTTACAAGCTGCAAATGCAACATCTGGAACTGAACTGCCACATTTAGCTTTAAACCACATTAAGGCATTTCCTAAATTTTGTGCTTTTTAGTTTACTTGCATATAGTATTTCTACCAATTAGTATGGGCCTAGACTATTCTATAATAATTCTGGCCGTGTCATATTATTTGATCCAGGTTCTGCAGACTAACTTGTGAAGGAGAAACATGAGCTTTTGCTAGCTAATATGAAAGAATTTATGGCATTGCGTTCCTGCTGTCGTCACTACAGAAACATTATGAAATGACCATGTGAGAGACCCACATTTTGTGCTGATCTGGGTCTCCTGGGTGTGTTGGACCACCTGTGAACCCTCAGCAGCTGTCCTCATCCTCCACAGCAGCAACACGCTACCGCTCTGATAACAGCTATGAAAAGGATGCATAAGAGCAACAAAATCTGCTAAAATAACGAATACATTTGTGGAAAAAATTGATTAAAAGGAAGTTAGCATTGAATGTGGTGGTGGACCTGCTCTGGTTTCACTCTGTAGCTTCCAAACATCTCTCTGCTGAGAGAATGAAGAGCTGCATTTGTTACAATCATGAGGTGTTTTAGGAAGTGTATATATTTCCTCTGAATTCTCCTCAGTCATTCACTTCAGTTTGTTGGTATTAATCTTCTGTTGTTTCTGTTTCAACAGAGAGAAATGACCAGATTGAGCAGGAAGAGAGGAGGGAAATAAAGCAGCGGCTCAACAGAAAGGTAAGACGGATTAAAGCAAACATACAAACCATTAATGTTTTTATTTTTTTTTTGGCCTTTGCTGACCAATCACCTTTCTCCTGCAGCTCAACCAGAGGCCAACCGTGGATGAGCTGCGGGACAGGAAGATCCTGATCCGTTTCAGCGACTATGTGGAAGTGGCCAAAGCTCAGGACTACGACAGACGCGCAGACAAGCCATGGACCAGACTATCAGCTGCTGACAAGGTAGCCTTTAAACCCCCCCAATTCTGTTTTACCCAGATACACGTCTTTTACTAAAGAAGGTTCTGAAATGTAAGGGAAATGTCAATTATAGCCAATTAAACCAACATAATTTCAAATAAAAAGGTTAATCCCATCAAATTCTACAGAGGTCTAACATAAAATGTGTTATGAAAAAAAACCTTAAAATAGAAAATCTATGTAGAGTTTCTTTTTATTATTTAAGAAAACAAAATGTTTTAACTGGGTAAAATCTCTCTTATGTTTACCCCCATAATCTGCCTTAAAACAGATTCTTCATCTCTATTTAAGCCTCACCAGCTGGGCCTCATGTTGCTTTTGTTCTCCAGGCGGCGATCAGGAAGGAGTTGAACGAGTTCAAAAGCAACGAGATGGAAGTTCATTCCTCTAGCAAGCATCTGACGAGGTGAGCACAAGACGACTGGACTGAAGCGATTAATCAGATTAATCGCAAACAAATCGATTGTTGGAATAATCAACTCATTTAGTAGTCAGTTAATCGGCAACTGGAGTATACAGTCAATAAAGGCTATTTGCTAAAATAACAACACTCAGAGCAGTAGTTAAGACAAAACTGTACCAGAAATATATACATTTTTGCTCCTTAGTAAAAAAAAAATCTTTGTCTGTAAATCTGTACCCAAAACTACTCAGGTGGCAGCATTAGCTTCACCCAGTTCAAATTGTTTAGAAAAAAACTTTTATTAATCACCTTTTGCAATCCAATTATTAATCTGTTAATCTAAAACTGATCACCAGATCAGCTCGACACCATATTGATGTTCAGTCAAGCAGAAATGGGTGAGCTTTTCCCATGTTGACGTTCAGTAGCTGCAAATACATTTTTGCTACAAATCACTCAGCATTCACTAAAGCAATGCTGTCAGCATTGTAGGTTAAACATATTTTATTCTTATTTGAAAAAGGAACTGAATAATTTTGTTTATTTTCGTCTTTTAATACATTTCTAATATTCCATAAAAAAATCTGCACAATGTGATAATTTATTTTATTTGATTAATTGATTATTCAGTTAATCGGTGTCAGTGGTTGGGTGTGTAACAGGGTCACTGTGATATTGTACAATTGTCTGACATCGATAAGTGTGCAGCAAGCGGAGCTGGGCCTAAATTTATCCTCACCCGTTCCCCAGGAGATGAGAAGTTGTGCTGCTTCGGCCCGGCTCGCCACAGTAATAAATGTCCTCGCTTGTTCAGCTTACGTTTCGCTTATGTCATCGGTAGCTGAATTAGCAGGGGTTGAGCAGCATTGTTCATGGAGCTAATAATAGTTTTTACAGACTTTAGTTTTTAAGATCTCACTCACACATTTGCTCTGTTTCATCTCCTTTATGTGCAGGTTCCACCGGCCATAGCAAGGTTTCTTCTGTGAAGAGTTGCTTAAATCTGGTTCTGTCAGAGAAGACCTTGCATCAGTGGCTGTCCTGATATTTGGGTTCAGCAAACCTTGGAGGCTATGTCTCTAATAGGGAGTCTGCTGGTAGGAGAGGCGGCATGCAGCACGCTCCACCTGCGCTCAGGGGAAGCCCTCCTCCTTCACCGCCCGGTCAGAGGAGCAGAAAGGACAAAGATCTGCCCTGCAGCTCCAGCAGACCAGCAGGGACTTCTTTTTGTAAACAGACTATTTTCAAAGACTTTGTTTTTGAGGCCACTAGTGGCAGGGAGCGGAAGGGGAGATGGTGCATGTGATGAAGTCAACCAGTCCCACTCCAGTAACGTTAGTCACATCCCTGAGCCGTGTGTGAGTCTCAACGATTCAATCGATCAGTTTCATATCAAGACTGTAAAATGTTCTTAATGAGACCTTGTTGGTGTACAAGACAGAAATCCCTTTGTAAGCACTATTTATTGTCTGCACAATACAAGTTTTCTATTGGTAACAAACTGAGTTTGTCTTGTGTGCTGCATGCAGACGGTGAGGCTTTGAACAGCAAAGCAGGAAGGAGTTTTCTAAAGTAGGTCAGCTTCCTACACGGTCTGGAACGGAAACTTCTGGAATCTCATTCAAGAGTTTGTAGATCTGAAAGTCCATCCATCCATCCATCCATCCATCCATCCATCCATCCATCCATCCATCCATCCATCCATCCATCCATCCATCCATCCATCCATCCATATCTTTGCCTTCTGTGTATTTTTGCAAATATTTTATTAAAAACCCAACCTTCACAGAACCTTCACTATAAACTGAATTTTTCTGTTCAGACTTTAGAAATGAACTAAAAATGACCGTGTGACTGGAAGTGCAGTTCTTCTCATAGAGGCCAGTATAAGGGGCAGGTTAACTTCATTTGTCTCATGATTGGGCTGTAAAGCCTTGTGATTAACCTCAGTCACTGTTAAACTGTTTATGAAGCAAATAATGAAACGGCAGCAAAGTTCATCTTGTTGCTCCAGACTAACACCATTTGTTGGACAAAATGCAGGCAGTCACCCGTTTCTGATCAAACTATTATCCTGGTAAGCGGGTTAGCCCGGTTGAATTCCCTCACAAGAACGAGTTCACCTGACTGGGCCTGTTCAATCATCCAGTCTATGTGCTGCTGCTGCATCACCCTGCCTGAGGATTAATGAGATTTGTGATCTCCCTTCTCTGATTCTTCACACTCAGACGGTGTTGGTGGTTCATGAGATCACTGCAAAGCCTTTCACAGAGTAAAAACCTGTTTGCTGAGCTGAGACTGAAATATAACAACAATAACAAACCAAACCCGGTCTGGTCACCTCACCTCTTGTTATGTTACGGCCACATTCTAATAATTACTTTGTAGGTCAGTCAGTTGTGAAGTGGACAGAAAAATTCTATGTGGTGTGCATTTCTACAGAATATTTCACATATTTCAAACTAAATATTTAGTTGGTAATCTAAATATTTAGCTCCAACTTAAATATGTGTTCTGAGTGAGTAAACTAAGTTTACAAACTAAATATTAGCTTGAAATAAAATATTTAGCTCAGAGATAAATATGTAGTTTAAATCTAAATACTTAGCTACAAATTAATAGTCAAATTTTTACCATGTTATTCATGCATTTATAAATGTCACGTTCAAACTACAGTTTTAAATAGCAAGTTAAATGTTTAATTTACCAGCTAAATATTTAGATATTTAGAACAAAGTAAAGCATGCGGAATGCCATTACCCCCTTTTGGGTTATTAGTGGGGAAAAAATAATTAAAACAGAGTGTAATTTTCCTTCCACTTCAAAGTTATGCACTACTTGGTGTTCTGTCAAATAAAATCTTAATAGTACAATTAGAATTTTTTTTGTTTTGCTTTAATGTAACAAAATGTGAAAAACCTAATGGGGCGAGCGTGTTCTGATCCTGGTGACTCAGTCCTGACCTCATTGTCGTGGTGCTGGTAGTGTGAGAACAGGTGGCAGGTCCAGTTTGATCTGGAGGACTCCGGCCCCCCCTCACCGTTTAGAGTAATGAAACCAGCAGCTACTGGCTGAGAACCACGGTGGCTGATGGGAAGAGCGTGGAGGTGTGTGGGAGGAACGGGGGGGAGCTCTCATCACGTCTGAGGGGGATATCCCTTACTTCCTGGTGTTCCTCAGATGGGACTGGGCCGTAGCTAACACACACACTGAACATATGTTGTGCAGTTTTGAGCCAAGTGAGAGTGATGAACTCCTATATGCCTAAAAATAAGTGGAGCATTGTAAATAATAAATCTCTGGACTCCTGCGTCACTGCAACTACGAGTGAGTGCCCCTCCGGTACCTGTTGCTTTTAGCCTTGATAATCCATAAAACAAATGGTTGGAACCTACAGAAACTACAGTGCCCATTATCCCAAAAATACACACGCCACATTACGTAACCTGTAATAGCTGGAAGTTTTCAGATCTAAGAGCATCACTCTGACTCTCCTAACATGGTGCTTTGTTACGTAGGCTTCAACAAGCGCCACATCTAAATTCATCTAAGTATGTTTGGACTGTCTTCTACTCCAGCATGGTCATGTGACTTCTAAATTACATCTACACAGATGTTTGTTAAATTAACAGTGTCATGTAGGAGCCATATACCTTGTTTTCTTGTGTTTTTCTCCATTAGGGGGGACATTTTATTTTGTGTATTGAGTATGTTGAAAGGGGGTGGGGCTACTTAAAGTAGAGTGTGATTCTGTTCAGGTTTTGACATTGTAAAGGAAATAAATAACTTTACCATAATGAATCGTGATTAAGCACATGTAAAACCAAAGCCTACCAAGAACAACAGCAACCAGTAGCCTAATAGCAATTTAGATGCTACATAGTCATCTCATGTACAGTACTTAGAATAATATAGCGTGTTCTGTCAGATCTTCTAAACATTCCTCCAAAGAGACATCTTGTGGCTTTTGGCAGGTTATTGAGCTTCAATAAAAACTCTGATTATAATGTACACTTGATTGGGGAGTAAAATGTGTTTTAGAAACCGACAAGTAAAAAAACACAAAGTCTCTAGGAACTAAGTGTGTTGATATGTTTAATGTTAAGTTTTTTAGGATAAGGTTTTGACAATATTGAGTACTGAAAAAAATGTGTTTATTTTAGTTCATTTGACCACACCACATACAATGTTAATTAATGTTCTGTCCCTTGGCAAATTAATAAGTCTTAATTTTAAATCTCTTATATATTTGATTTATTGTTAACCAGCATAAACTGAATTGATTTGAATTGAATTAACAGAACCTGGGAAAGGAGCATTTCCTCCTAAGTCTCTTGAACAGAAGATGGATTTTCCTAAGAAGCCATTATAACTCCTTAGTTAGCAAAAGCATTGATCTGCCAGTCTGCATTCAGTTTCCATGGTAACCCAGTGTTATAATGAACAATTGATGATGGTGCTATTCTCCTCTACTTTTGCTTCTGGTTAGATCATGAATCATAGAATCAAGAAATCTCAGAATACACATCACTTTTTCCATCTGCATAGAGAGATGCTAGCTGTTAGCCTGTATGTAGCATTCAGACATGTTGCCATTTTGCTTGTCAGAAATAAAATAAAACTCCCACTAACGTCCACTGGGTGTATGTTTGCAGTTGTAAATAGTCCACCCTTTCTTTCAGGGAGCAAAAATGAGCATTAGATATATTGATTTATTATTAACATCCATGTCTTAGATAGACACATTTTAAAGTTACAACATCTAAAAGCTGTGTTTGCACAAGGAATTTGTTTAACTGAGTATATCCTGAGGTATGTCCTAATAATGTGTCGTTTGCTTAAGGATAGAAAATATGAATTTAATCCTGACATATGATGATGATACTCAAAACACACTTGTACGTTCCGCCATAGTACTTGAGTAATTTTGATTTTTTTAAAGCAGGATGTCCTGATCCAGACTTTAATGTAGCATTACTGACAGCAACTTTACAAACTGACAAAGGTTTTAGTTCCGATATGCTTAGCAACATGAACATTATCGCTAAGTAAAGCAGTGCTGCCATCTAGTGTTTGAACGACATCAGAATAAGTACAACTATGCAATAAAATGAATTATGTTTAATGGGTTCCAAAAAGCTTTTTTTCCTCCCACAAAGTTTAAAATGAAAATCTTTCTTTCTTTCAAAATTGTGTAAAACACTCTGATGTCTACTACACCCTTTGTAAAATCTGCCAAGCTTTAGATGACGGCTGGTTTGAAGCGTGTCACACAGCTGCAGTGATTAGTCCAGCTGACAGAGTGTTTTCTAAAACCATGGCCAGGCAGGAAGCACTCAGGAATCTGGGCTGTGACATTTCTGGAAACGCTGCAGTGAAAGGCTGGTGTGAGTCTGTGATCCAAGGTCAAGCAAACATTTTCTCCCCATAATCCTCCTTATAAAACCAAACAAGTCCCACAGGAGTGGGGTCAACACTCTGTTTGCTTCAGCAGAAACGAGCCTCACTGCTCCGGCTGCTGCTTCATTTCTGCAAGAGACTGCAGAGGTTCTTCATTACATACCTCACAACAGGCAAGATATGATTAATGGGTTTTATGTGACCGATCAACATAAAGTAGTGCATACTTGAGAAGTGGAATGAAAAGCATTATTTCCACAAAGAAAATGGATTTTCAAAAAAAATAAATAAATAAAACAACATTGGGACATTGTACTCACTGCAGGATTTAATCCATGATGGTACAGTGTTACTATGAAAACTCTTGAGACAGTAGTCCCAGTTCTCTTCAGGTCATTTAGTAGGTCCTGTGCTGATCTCTCTTCCTCATGATGACTGATACTCCATGAGGTCTAGTAGAACAGATCCATCATGGAGCCCCAGTGTAAGGGAGACTGACAGGCATCTGGATGTCCTTTGATTTTCTAATTGTCTCACCAACCTGTTTACCAATCATCGCCCATGCTGACCTGGTCCAGGTCTACACTTTGTCCCTGGTGTCCTTAGATAAGGGATTCCATTCTACTTACTTTTGACACAAATGGAACCCCTATTGAAAAACATGCCACGCCATCATCCTACCCACCACTTCTTGTTGTTTTCGTTGTCAGTAGCGACATCCACTTGTTGATCTCGTGACTGGTGTGATGTGAAAAAAGTATCTCCGTTGCAGTTTTGTGAAATGCACTAATTTTGATAAGGCTGGGGAAAAAAACACCTGATCCTAGTGCCAAAACATTTTATCGAAAAACGTGTTTTTTTTTTTTTTCTGTTACGCCAACTTATTTTCTTAATTCCAATTTGCTAAATTTTAAGGTTAAATGTGAGAGACAGAATTCTTACTGGTTGGTAAATGACCAAATTCTTATTTCGTGCAACAACAACAAATGCAAGGAAATTATTTGAAGATCAATGTGATTTTTACTTTTTTTTAAAGATTCTCTTTCACAAATACTTATTTTCTCCTCCAGGTCTTTATTTTATTTTCTCACGGCAGAACA